CCTCCCTGGGGCTCAGTCCTGGCTGTCCGTCCGATGACCTTGGGCCAATCACTCCTCTTCTCTGAGCGTCAGTGTTGCCATTTGTCAATGGGACTGTTGGCTCACTTCTCCACTCATGCAGCACATGTCCATCGAGTGTCTGTCGTGTGCCAGGCGCCGTGCCAGTAGCACTGGGTAAGAGCAGCGACCAGAAACAGCCTTCCCGGGGCTCCTGGAGGAGCTTGAGAGGAATTCAGGAGCTGAACGTCCCAAGCTTGCGATGGGGGGTTGGGGGGGAGGGGTGTGTGGCACGAGGGAGAGGGAGGTGCTTGTGAGAATGGGCGGCGGTGGTGATGTTCGCAGGGGTATAAAGGGATCCTGCTTGGCATGGCGGGTCCTCATCTGCTTCAGTGTTTCCCCTCTGAGACAGCCACATGGCCATGCCAGCAGGAAGCTGGGTCAGTAAACTCAGCCAGAAGCTCAGACGCGAGTGTGGGGTGGGCAGAGATCACGGCAAATCCGCAGAGCCGAGGATTTCGAGGGTTTTAGGGAGAAAGGGTGGGAAGGAGGTCAGTGGCATCCTATAACTCCGGGAGGTGGAGATGGAGGACTCCACGCAAAAGCCATGGATTAGGTGGCCGGGTGCCCGGAGTTATTTCCACAGCTCAGGTCACCAGGGGTTAAGCGGGAGGTGCGGGCGGGTATGAGGGAGCCGGTGAGCTATAACTCAGGCGCCTGACCGACAGTGGTGGCCTGGCGGTGAGACGGCTGTGCCTGAAGCGCCCGGTGTAAATGGAATGCCTGTCTGTCTAATCCTGTTCTTCACGCCCCGGACAAATCCTCTGTCTGATGAGACTGGAACGCTGCGCCTTTGGTAGGGACGTAACCGCCCCCTATTTGAGGTGTGTATGTAACAGAGGGAGCCCTCAAAGAAAAGAGCTGAATTCAAGAAATTGTGGCACGTTCCGTAGATCACAACGTGTGGGGCCTGTCCTTCCCAGGTGTGGGAAATGTAGCCATATAGCAAGGGGGGCGGGGAGAAAAGAAGAGGAAAGAAAAAGTAGTATGGCCCTCATGGCAGAGAGTCGATTTGGCTCATGCTCACCTCACTCCAGCTATCCTGGACGGAGGGCCTAATTATTCTTTTCTCTTTTTTCATCTTTTATTCATTTACTCAACTGACATTCATTGAAGGCCTGCTGGGCACCAGGCACTGTACTAGGCTTGGGGCGGGGGGGGGGGGGCAAAGGAAAAACAAACATCTTGATCCTTGGCCTCCTGGAGTTTGCATCTGGGAGAGAGACTCAGCCCTCCATGAGCGTAGCACGGGGGGCTGACCTCCGTGTACCAGCAGGTGAGTCCTGCGGGAGCAGCACCCGCGTCGGCCCAGGGTGGGAATGGGTAGGGCGGGAAGGCACCATCTGAGCTGAGACTTGGAAAAAATGTGTTTGCTTCATAGGCAACTTGGGGAGGGTATTCCAGGTGGAGGGACCAGCATGGGCCAAGGCCTCAGGAGGTGGCATATCCTGGAAACATCCTTAGTTCAGAATGGCTGGAGGGCAGAGATGGGGGGTAGGAGTGTTGTTGGAGGCAAGACCACAGGGCTGGGTGAGGGTCTTGATGCTCCTTTTCTTTGCCTCCACTAACCATCCACGAACCCCCTTTGTTATCCCAAGCATCCGGCCTTCCCCGCAACCAGCTCACTCCCGTCACAGCATGAAAGCTGGCGTAGGCCCAAGGCAACCCTCCAGTTCCCCAAACAGGCCTCTGGGGGTGGGGTAAGGGTGGGGCTTCCCCTACCTCGAAGGGCTTATCACAGTTTTCACCCGGTTACAAGTAATGAAGTTGAAGCAGTGCTCAAAACTCCCAACAAGCAAGCCCTGGACCAGATGGCCTCACAGGTAATTTCACCAAACACTCAAGAACAAGCACCTGTCCCCTGAAACCATTCCAAAGCATCCAGGAGGAGGGAAGGCTCCCAAGCTCATTGTACCAGCCCAGAATCATCCTAATTTACAAACCAGATAAAGACACCACAAAGAGAGAAAATTATAGGCCAATATCCCCGATGAACATGGATGCTAAGATCCTCACAAAATATTAGCAAACCAGATCCAGTAATACATCAAAAAGGTCATACACCATGGCCAAGTGGGATTTATACCTGGGATGCAAGGCTGGTACAATAGCCACAAGCAATTAATGTGATACATCACATAAACAAAATGAAGGATAGAAACCTCATGATGATATCAATAGGTACAGAAAAGCATTTGATAACATCCAGCACCCATCTACACATATAAAAGCTTAAGCGACCATGTTGACCAGAACACGCACTGACCACCAGGGGAAGACACTCAATGCAGGGCAGAAAAGCATTTGATAACATCCAGCACCCATCTACATATATAAAAGCTTAAGCGACCATGTCGACCAGAACGACTGGTCTACCAGTCGCTACGACGCCCACTGACCACCAGGGGAAGACACTCAATTAATTCAGGAGCTGCCCCCTGGTGGTCAGTGCACTCCCACAGCCAATCTCCCTCGGCCCCTCCCCCACTCCCCTGGCCGGCCCAATTGCCCTGATCAGGACTGGGGGAGACGCCACAATGGCGTTTTTATGATAAAAACTCAGCAAAGTGGGAATAGAAGGAACATACCTCAACATCTTAAAGGCCATATATGACAAATCCATAGTTAACATCATACTCAGGGGCAAAAACTAAAAGCCTTTCCCTTAAGATCCGGAACAAGATAGGGATGTCTGCCCTCACATTTTTATTCAACATAGTACCGGAAATCCTGGCCACAACAATCAGACAAGAAGAAGAAATAAAAAGCACCAAATAGGAAAGGAAGAAGTAAAACTGTCATTATTCTAAGACAAAAAGATGCTGTATATAGAGAGAACCATAAAGATTCCAACAAAAGACAACTAGGACTGATAAATGGATTAGGTAAAGTAACAGGATAAAAAAATAAATATCCAGAAATCAGTTGCTTTTTAAATTTTGTTAATCCTAACCTGAGTATATCTTTCCCATTGATTTTTAGAGAGTGGAAGGGAGGCAGGGAAGGAGAGAGAGAGAGAGAGAGAGAGAGAGAGAGAGAGAGAGGTGAGAGAGACGCATCGATTGGTTGCCTCCCACACTCGCCCCTGACTGGGGCCAGGGATGAACATTCAACCCAGGAACATGCCCTTGACCAGGAATCGAACCTGAAACCCTTCAGTGCGCAGGTCAATTCTCTAACCTCTTAGCAATACTGGCCAGGGATCAGTTGCATTTTTATACACCAATAATGAGCTATCAGAAAGAGAAACTAAGAAAATAATTGCATTTACAATTGACAAAAAAAGGGACCAATCCAGGAATAAATTTAACCAAGGATGTAAAAGACCTGTACTCTGAAAATTATAAGACACTGAAGAAAAAATTGAAGAAAATACAAATAAGTGAAAGCATATACAATGCTCATGGATAGGAAGAATGAACATCATTAAAATGTCCCTACTATCCAAAGCAATCTATAGATTCAATGCAATTCCTATCAAGATACTAATGGTGTGCCCTGGCCAATTTGGCTCAGTGGATAGAGTGACGGCCTGTGAACTGAAGAATCCCGGGTTCGATTCTGATCAAGGGCACATGCCCAGGTTGTAGGCTTGATCCCCAGTAGGGGGCATGCAGGAGGCAGCCGATTGATGGTTCCTTCTCATCATTGATGTTTCTCTCTCTCTCCCCCTCTCCCTTCCTCTCTGGGAAAAAAAAAAAGATACCAATGGCGTATTTCACAGAACTAGAACAAATATTCCAAACGTTGATATGGAACCACAAAAGACCCCCAATAGCCAAAACAATCTTGAGAAAGAAGAACAAAGTTGGAGAACTCACCCTACCTAATATCAAGTTGTACTATACATGTCCACAGTAATCAAAACAACATGGTACTGGCATAAAACTAAACATATAAATCATTGGAACAAAATAGAGAGCCCAGAAATAAACCCACACCTTTATGGTCAATTAATATTTGACAAAGAAGGTAAAAATATAAATGGAGTAAAGAGAGTCTATTCAATAAATGGTGTTAGGAAAACTGGACAAATAGGTGGAAAAAAAATGAAACTACACCACCTTCTTACACCACACACAAGAATAACTCAACATGGATTAAAACTTAAATATAAGAGTCGAAACCATAAAAATCCTAGAAGAAAAACAAAAACAAAACCCCTAGAAGAAAACATAGGCAGTACAATCTTGGACATTTCTCGTGGCAATATTTTTTTCTGATATATCACCTCAGGCAAGGGAAACAAAAGAAAAAATAAACAAATGGGACTACGTCAAACGAAAAAGTTTTTGCACCGCAAAGGAAACCGTCTACAAAATGAAAAAATAACCCACTGAATGGGAGAACATTTTCACCAATGACACATTTGGTAAGGGGTTAATATCCAGTATTTATAAAGAACTTACACAACTCAACTCCAAAAAAAACCCAAAGAATTCAATTTAAAAATGGGCATAGGACCTGAATAGACACTTCTCCAAAGAGGACATATATGAAAAAATGCTCAATGTCACTAATCATCAGAGAAATGCAAATTAAAACCACAATGAGATATCACCTCACACCTGTCAGAATGGCTACCATCAATAAATCAACAAACAACAAGTGCTGGCGAGGATGCGGAGAAGAAGGAACACTCGTGCACTGCTGGTGGGAATGCAGACTGGTGCAGCCACTATGAAAGACAGTATGGAGTTTCCTCAAAAAGTTAAAAATGGAACTGCTTTATGACCCAGCGATTCCACTTCTGGGAATATCTCTGAAGAAACCCAAAACACTAATTTGAAGAATATATACACCTCTGTGTCCATTGCAGCATTTTTTGCAATAGCCAAGATTTG